GACGAAGAACGCGTATGCTTCGCTAAAGATTAAATAGGTAATCATGCGTGCATTTCAGAGTGTTCGCCAGATCGAATATGCTCGCTTTGGTGAATGAGTATAAAAATGTGTATAAAATATTTTGAAAAACTTTCCATATTCTTGGCTGGCTATAAATTTTTAAAAGTCGAGAATAGTAACCACTAACTTCTTGTTAAACTGTCTTAGACAAAACCTTAAATTTATACACATGTGGTCATTATTTTGGCCTTAAGCTATAAACAACTTAAAAACATGATTCTCTGTCGCTGCCAAAGAATCTCCAGCAATGAAATGCCATAACAAACATTAACATTTTAGGAGTATTTTAATCACCATCACTAAAGCAGCCGCAAAGAATACACTTTGTATATATGTATATATATATTTTTTTTTTTTGCTCTTGTTACTATACTACTTACAAAAGAATAAAAAAAAAAAAAAATAAAAAATATTTCTTACTAAGATCAACTTTCTCCGTACAACAAATCTCTTCGAAATAGCAAGACAAAAAAGAAATTAAGTTTGTTAGTAATTAGAACACCACTAAAGACACCTGAAACTTTTGAACGAACAAGCCGAACGCACATACCCACACACACACACATAAACATACACACACACACACACACATGTACACACAAACGAATGGAGAAAAATACTTTCAGAATTTAGAAAATTTCGCAAGACTGTAGCAACGACACAAACACATGCAAGGCCATGTACATTGATAGCTACGTCCACAATAGATATATATATATATATATATATATATATATATATATAGCAACAATTAAAAGTCCAGAATTAAAATTGTAAGATATTTCTTTTTTCCTTCATACTTTTTTTTCCCTTTTTTTTGCATTTTGCATTTTGTATTTTATATTTGTCTTCAAAGACGTTCAAGAGAGAGAAAGAAAGAGAAAGAAAGAGAAGAGAAAAAGGAAGGGATGACTTAAAAACGATTTTAAAAGAACTTGAAAACTTTGTGAGAAACTTTCCAAAAAAATATTCAGATGGATGGATGATCATAATGTTGAAAATGTTGACGATGTCCTAAGGAATTACTGTTTATGAAAAGTTAAGCGAAAGAAATTTATAAGAACTCTAAAGCCAAAATTTTATATCAAGAGTCGTGAGTCGTGAGTCGTGAGTCGACTAACTGCAGTATAAATTCAAATCAAAAAAAAAAAAAAAAAAAAAAACAAATACAATAATATTCCGAAATTCGATTTCAATTAATTTCTAAATTTCTATAAGTGAAAAATGTTTTGTTCGATTTTCAGTCGAATGTATGTTGTTTGGTTTCCATCCTGTTAAGTATAAAAAAAAAAATTTGAAAATAAAAAAAGCATAAATTCGTTTTCTGCCCCGAACCCCATATCTGTTTTTTGCTTAATCTTTTATTTTTTGTTCTAAACAAACAGAAAATGGCCAAAAGTGCAAAAAGAACACTTCATCTGAAACCAAAAAAAAAAAAAAAAAAAAACAAAAAAAAAGGCTAGAAAACAAGAAATACTACAACAACAAGTGTTAGAACAACTCAAATAAAGTACTCGAGAGTAAAAAAACAGCAACAACAGAAATAGAAATAGAAAAAATTCATCTAGTTTTTGCTGGTGTTGTTGCTGGTGTTGTAACGAGTATATGAAGAGACCATAATATGAAGAAACATTTGGTGGTCATTGTAAGATGTATTGCCACTTGGAGAAAAAGCTCTTAAGAAATTCCGGTTCGGTTGGGTGGTCGGTGATAGATGGCCAACATTTTGGGGCTGCTTCTACATTTGTATATTCGTATATTTGTGTATTTATGTATGTATGTATGTGTGCGTTTATGAGGGTGTATAATATAAGTGAGTATATATTTGTATGTTTGATTGAGGACAAACAAAACCTAAAGTTTGTATTGTGGTTTTCAAAATGGATTTTTTGCTTTAAGTGTGTCAAAGAGTATGAGCTCAACTCACGCACATCCACATTTTTTTATATATATTTGTTTCATAAAAAGAAAAACTTTTGTATTTGCATTTTGTTTTAAGGATCTTTCTCGTTTTTTCTTAAAAAACACAAGTTACACGAAATAAAAAAGAAAATTATGTATAGTAATGCAGAAGAGAAAACTTTCTTTTTTTCTTTCCTTTTTTATACTCTTTTCAACTTCGAAATGCAATAAATGCTCAAAAGGGTTTTGTGAACTTATAATATTTACAAGTTTTGTTGAAAGACCAAAAGAATTTTTTCGTATACATGAGCAAAACACAAAAAATTCATGTGATTAAAACTGAAAAAGACAAGCAAGAAAGTTATATTCGCCTTGTAGCGTATCTGCGATATCCAAGCATCGCCAGCCGATATATGAAAATTGTAGGATGTGTGAATTGTGGGCGTGTGGCACCTATTTCTCTAGTTTAAACTTAAGCCATCCCCTTGGGAAATAATTATGTTAAAGTGTATTAAGTGGACGATTTGTCTATTTGCGGCCTTGCTCTTAGGAATAGCATCACACTTCTTCTGAGGTGAGGTCAAGCTGCGGTCACGCAGGCGGGTGAATACTTCTATGTGTTACAAACGCACACATTACAATTACAATTTATTTTAATCTTGGTTTCTCCATTTACATATACACGTACGAAAGTGACATAAGTTTGCCATAAATATATATATATATATATATATAGATATATATATATAAATAAATTCACCTCCGTTTCGAAATTTTCGTAGCAGACCCTCTCATCGCTAACGAAGAAGGTTGATAAACTGATGTTGACCTTCGAGAGACTTGCGGAAAGTGCGTGGAGTTTATATATCTCATTTTAACTGCTTCACAATTTTAAATAATTTTATAAGGCGAAATGCACAGTGTTCACGCAGCTGCACTGAATTGATCGAACAAACAGCAAAAAAAAAAAAAAGCATTTAATGTTTCTAGACGAAAGAGTGATAAAATTGCAGTAAGATGGACATAGGGGTAGATCGGCAGACGGATAGCTAGACAGATAGATGGACGAAGGGATAGATGAATAGAAAAATGGAAAGATAGACAGACGAAAGGACAGAATGGTTAATAGATAGACATATAGACAGATAGATAGACGAACATAGAGAGGGCCAGGTAAACAGATAAATACATCGCAGAGTGAGTTCTTGCAGTGAAGCTGTAATTCAACGGTTTCCAATTGTACACGAAGTAAGAATAATTCATTCACCGCCTACGGGATGTGCTTACCCGCGAGAAACAGTCAGACTAACAGTTGGATAGACAGATAGATAAATTATATGATGGAGTGGCAAAGACAATGGCTAAACTTGATCAAAACTATATTATATATGGGCTTATCGGCTCCTAAATGTATATGATTATGGGACGCACGCACTTCCCAAATCCTAAAATGCGTCTTGGAGCGAGAGAGAAAAGTGAAATATTGTAAGAAGTTTAAAGAAAATATGATCATAAAGAAGAATGAATATATTGGTTATGATGCAAAGTGCCATGCACAGGGAGGGATTTAATTTTTGCTCAATCTTGCAATTATATACTGTACAGAGACTAATAATAGGTATAAAAAAGTCTACTCCAACTGAATATAATTTTTTTTTTTTTTATATGAGTTCTCTGTTTGAAAATCTCATTAATGACCAACAATGCTGTTGATGGAAATGTTAGATGACTAGCAGCGACAGTCATCCCAAAGGCAATGTTTAGACGTTTTGTCGTTTTGTTATTTTTTTTTCTTTTTTAATTTTATAAATTAACAAACAATGGACAAAAATTATCTACACAAAGGACAAACAATATGCCCGTAAGAGCCGTTTCTCTTTCCCTCTAACATAAGCTTAGAACAATGAGTACATTTTTTCGGATGAAATGACTACACATACGAAATGTTTGAGGATGTGCATGTGTGTGCATGTCATGAAATCACAACTGTAACTTATCCAACCGTATAACAAAAACTATTATTATATTTATAACAGCACACATGTATATATACACACGCACACACACATATATATATATATACATTATAACAAAAATTACTAAAATTAGAAAAACAACGTATTACAAAATTTGCATGAATTTTAATTACGTCGTGCTCTTGCTAAAGAAAGTGATGGTGGGTGCGAATATTGTCCGAAAAAATTACAATGGAATTAAATTTTGAAAGGAAGGCGCAGGTGAAGATGCATTCGTTCCTTCTCGTTCTTTTCATAATTTCTTTGAACTGTCAACAAAACTAATGATTGCCTTAAGCCCAATTTTCATTTTGTGCTTTTTTTTTTTTTTTTTTTTTTTTTTTTTTTAAAAAATCCGCCGCCCCCTGTCGGCGTCTTTGCATCATCTACTGGTATACTGTAAGTTAAGCTAATGTTTACCTTACCGTTACCGTGTAGTGTTTGTTAATACATATCAAATTGTTACAATACGTTACCAGGTAGTCAATCCCACTCTCCACAAAAAAGTGGAGCTGCATTAGGGGTTATGTGTGCGTAAAATATTTAGAGTCAGCTCAGCAGCACACGTTTTCGCACTTATTTTCTGCATTTTTTTTTTTTTTGACATTTTATGATCACTTTATTCGCACCAATGCAAAACTGTAACAACTGTTATTTACAGATACGTATATTTACTTAAGTAAAAAAGTAAAAATTTTTTATGGTTCGCCTGTATAAAGTGAAAACAGTACTTCAATACCCGTAACTAATAAAAATATCGTAAAAATGCGAAATGTCGACGACATAAAGACAGAGAGAGAGTAGCTAAGTGAAAAGCGTAATGCATTTATAATAAAAGATAAAAGATAAAAGATGAAAATGTCTTAAGCTTTAGAGCAGAAAATACATTTTTGTTTACGCGTTTGTCTTTTTTTTTTTTGAATTTATTTTTTTTTTTTTTTTTTTTTGAATGGATTACAATAGAAGTGAATGAAAACATTGCACATTTTACTTATTTATTTCAATAATTTACGTGTAATTTATGTGTTTTGTTCACCGCTTTTTTATTTCTAATAACTTATTTTATTTATATTTAAAGAAAACAAACAAAACAAGAAATTAATTAACAATAATCGCTTGCTTCACCTTCAATTCTATTGCATAGGTATTGTGGTTATGATTGACTGCAAACATTTTAAGCTTTCGTCTCGGTTTGCTTCACCTGAACTTTTACACATCTCGGTTTCGTATACTTCGACAGATGAATTGCGCGTTTCCTTTCTTTGCGTCGATCCAGCCAGCGCCTCACAAACGGCGACAGCAGTTTAGGCTCTACATGCTCAACTTTATTGAATCCCAGGCAAAAACTTGCAATTGAAGCAATAGTTATAGTAATCAGAGCACCAAGCATTGTGTAGTACAGAAACGAGATGTTGTAAATATGGAAACCTGATGGACTAAGATTGAAATGTTTCATCATCATTTTTCAATTCTCTCAATTAATAAGGTTGCATGCAGCAAAGAGAAAAGCTATGTGCATTCTACTCAATAAATGGCATTAGAGACGCGTAACATTGCATGCAGATTAGTATTTTGATCGTCTAAAATTCGCCCCTTGCGGAAATCTTAAAAGCTATATAGGGTGCAGGCATAACGCTTTTACCAAGCGAATGACAAAAGCTTATTGTATAGTTTAAAGAAGCCCGCCATGAAGTTTTTCCTCGCTCTATTATGAGTCGACCTTCAGCTGCTACTCACCTAACTTCTTTTACAGTTTCAGTGGAATTATCTGCAACCAGACTTAAAGCGGTAAAATCGGAAAACGTGTAATTGCAACCGGCTATTGAAGACGGCTTCCGAATATCGATTTTAAAGCCTTTGGCTTCGTTCAATTTGGCGTTTACACACAGCCAAACCATAAATATTAAGCTGGTAATGCCACCGAACAGTATGCCCTTTGAAAAATGAAATTTTTCAAAAAGAGTTTGGTTTCGTTTCGTTTATGTTCGTAATGTAACCGCAAACGTACCAGTTCTTCTACCCAAGGCAACATGACGCCTGCCGTGAATATACCCAGCAATGGACCGTTAGACACTGATGATAGTGTTATACTTAATTGCAATACAGTTCCCAGCTTTTCGACAACAAATACCAAAGCTACGCAGATGGCGCCAAATATTACAACGACCGAGCGCATTATATAAGCCGTTTGGGTCGCTGTTAATGGGGTTGCGACCCATGATTTGAAAAAATCCTCCAGAATAACCGCTGACATAGAATTCAAACCAGTCGATAAAGATGATAGAGCAGCGCTGAACACTCCTGCCACGAATAGGCCAGGTAAACCAGGAAAATCGCCTAAGGTATCCATCACCAGTAAAGGCAACAGCTGATCTTTGTGCTGAGTTAACTAAAAAAACGAGTAGAATAATTTACAAAATCTGAAGGGCCTACGTATCACGCACCTTAGTTTGTAAGGGATCACATTCAGAATAGGTTGCATAAATTAGGAGACCACAGTAACCGCAAATGAGTAAAAATATTACGATGCCCGTAATAAAAGTCCAAACTGCGGCGCGGGCCATTTTTAGTGTTGGCAAGGCCAGGTACCTTTGGATCATATTCTGATTGATGGCGTTCGATTTCAGCCAATGTGCTATACCGCCAATGAACAAAGAGTAGGCCGTATAACGTTCCGTTAAATCCAGCGTGAAACTGATATAAATTCGACATACGGGACAATATTAGATAAGGTGTATCTTTTGTCTCCATATCGCTAAACTTAAACCTACTTGGGTGGTTCAATGCGGCCACTTTCTAAGGCTTTACGAAAAACAACTCCTGGTCCACCAATCTCAATGGTGCCCTTAACAAGGACCAATGTCATAGCGCCGAGCATAATGATAGTCTGGATAACGTCCGTCCAAACGACTGCTTTCAAGCCTCCCTTTTTTCAAAGTAAAATTTCAATGGTTATCACAATTAAAGGGGAGCAGAAGAAAAAAAGGAGCAGTGAGTAAAACTTACCACACATGTGTAAAATATACAGACCAGACAAACTAAAGGAGTTATTTGATGGATATTAATACCTGTGGCTTGATTAAAAGCTATCGCTGGCACATAAATGACTATGGGCAGCCAAGCCATCTACAAATACCTTGGAATTCATATGCATATGGGTGGTATAGAGCATTCAGCCAGTACTCACCGATCCAAATATGAACAGAGTGGAGCCTAAGAATCGCGTGCGTTTATCAAAACGCGCCTCAAGATACTAAATGAAAAGTGACAAAACAATTAAAATCAAATGATCAAATAATCACGACTACTGTAACTACATTAGTAGGCAGGCATGGAACCAGCGTTGTTTAAAATTGAACAAAAACAAAAAAAAACAAAAAAAAAAAAAGAAAGGGGCTTAAAGGAGAATAAGCTAAATAAAAAAAAAAAAAAAAATAAAAAAATAAAACAAATGAAATTTGCAATAGGAAGGAATTAAGGGCAATAGGGAGTTGGAAAGGGTTGCTTTATTGGTGCAGCCTGCAGTAGAGAAATGCTGAGAAATGGCAAGCATTTGTTCTCATACTTCATAAGTTGATATTAGTTTCAATTCATGAAAGACTGGCAGAAAGATGGAGTACATTATAAGGCCCATTATCAGCAGGGATCCTATCGTGTACATATACTGAGTGCCATACAAGTAGACGTCGGTAGTTGTGCCTAGGAGTGTGATGCCGGAAATGAAACTAAAAAATTTTAAAAAACAAGATGCAAAACTCTTGAGAGATTTTTTTTTTATATAAAAACGTACATCATTAGTTATGTATGATACGTAATAATTGGTTTATGATAAAAACGTACGAATGAATGATTGAATGGATGTGGCTGAATGAATTTAACTGCTTCGCCTCTCTTCCGTTTGTCGCTCTACTTTAATTGCTAGCAAAAAACTATATCAACGTAGTACCGTATGAAAAATGTCTATACCTCTAAAAAGGTCTTGACATTTATTACAAAATTTTTATTTATTGCATACTGTTGTCGTCTGCTTTTTCGTTTGTTGTTATTGTTGTTTATTGTGTATGGTATTTACTGCTTAGAAACTTGGTGACGAATTTTTTTCAAATGTCGCAGAACCTATTGTCCAACTATTACGAATTATTTTTATTTATTTATTTTCTTTTTTGGCTTTTTTTTTTTTTTTTTTTTTATATACATTATAGATATAGTTTTTACAAATAAATATTAAAAATTTTTCCAACTGATTTCAGGATTGAAAAAAATAAATTGCACAGAAAAATAATTTCTTCTAATATTCAAAGTCATGTACATATATATATATATAGAATGGGATACCTTAAATTAAATAATAAAAAATGCAAAAAAAAAAAATAAATAAATAAATAAAAAAAAAAAAAAATATAATCTTTTCACTTCGACTTAGGGTAAGATAGACGACAGCTACGGCGATGAGCCGATCCTTTTGCTGTTTCTATATATTTTATATCTTGTATATTATATATATTTTATATGTGTAAATGTTGTCACTTAAATCACATAAATTATGTGTAGATTACAAGTCAAACCAATTTATTAATTATAAACAATAGAATTGTAAAGAAAGAAATAGGTACGTTTGCCACTGTCGCGACAAATGCTATACAATGCAAATGCCCGGAATAATTCGTTTAGAGAAGAATGCGAAGAAAAAGAGAGAATTAAATAAATTCATAAAAAGTTTGAAATTAATACAAGTACGAATGTACGGCATGTACCGGTAGAAGATATACTCATAAGCACGTACATACATCATACTTATAATAATGTAGAATTTAAATAATGCATGCATTTCTGTAATGATGATGATAATAATGATGACGATCACGATGATGAAAACCTGCATAATAATAGAAAAATTAAATTGTAAACGCTATCCGAGCGACTCGTGTAGGTAGATGATAATGATGATGATGACCTTTTTGACTCTTTTTTCCATTTCTTTCCATACATAAATGTGTACATATATATATATATATATAAATTTTTTTATTTTTTAAAGGGTAATTTAAAAGTAATTTTTGGCCATAAAGGCATACCTTGATATTAGCGACATGGTGATGGGAAATAATTTCATTTTACGTCCTCCTACGAGATAATCATCTTCAGCATCCTTAATGTTGGATGTTTTTTTTGATTTTCGACGCATTTTCAAAGCAAAATGTATGCCTATCACAGCACAACTGGCCAACATAAGTGTAAAAACCAAATAATCAGCCCAGCCGAAACGTTGCAAAGTCTTTCTTACTTCATCCACATTCATTATGATATTTTTATGATCGATAAATATTTTAATCGATTTCCTTATATATTTTTACTTTACTTTTCTTTTTTTTTTTTTTTTTTTTTTTTTTTTTCTAAAATTGATACAATTTTTAAAATGTTTTTGGTATTATTTTCAAGATCGCGATCGTTGCTTGAATAGATATAACACGTAACTGAGTCAATTCAACAATATACGTTTCTTCTTATTCACTGTCTTATTCAATGAATTTCTTACTCTCCTCAACTCAACAATTGCAATTCAACTAAACGACACACTTAGAATTTCATCGTCGTCATCATTATTCCAATCATTGTCGTCGTCCGTTGTCCGTCGTCTGTTGTCATCATCATGATCAGCAATCACAATATGAACAAGAGTCATGTAGATAACAGTTCTCACCAATAAAATCTACATTCAGGATTTATTCCCTGATACTAATATAAGCCTGAATCATGTGAATGCGTTTTTGGCACTTATTAAGTTAAATAAATGCTCGCACAAATTGTCAACAAACTTAATATCGCTTTATATATATATGTAAGTTATAATAATAATATAATGCGTAAAGCAATTTTAAATTATTATAAGTAAGCTGCGAAAACGTGAAAATTATTCGCAACTTTTTGCCTTTGCGCGGACCTCACATGGTATACTAGATGTGTGAAATGCTTGCAACGCCGTACTCCATTGTCCGTCCCATTTCTAGAAATCGAAGTCTTGCGATTTCAGATCTTTAATTTTTTTCTTCTTCGCACAGCGGCTCGTTCGCAATGCCGTGCAACTATATAAATTAAGCAGAAACCAATGTCAGTGCTGTCTCCAGCTTGTATCTATAATATGCTGTCAAATTGTGCATCGATATGATTGTGGCCGGATGTGCTGTGATGTGTCATGTACATCGAGCGAATGGATTTTTTTTCCAGTTTGCATTCAAACACCATGTAGGTACCCCAGCAATGGTGGATATAAGAAATATACCATTTTGATCTTGATCTATGCTAGTTTTGAGAATAAGAAACAATATATTATAGTCAATCAAAGCAAACTCTTGTGGTGTTTCGTGACCAAATGATAATCGGGTGATGGATCAAAGTCCGGCCACCATAGACATCCCGTTCTGTTCTTTTTTTTTTCTTCATCCGAATTCACATTTTATGTTGTGCTGCCCGGATTTATTCTAAGCTTATGTAAGCTATACATTTTTTCCTCTTTGTGCACTCGGAAAGGTAAAATTTCGACATTACGACATCCATCCGCAACCTATAATTGTTTAGTACCTTTAAAATACCACTTGTATGTTACGAATAAGGCGATGATCGCAATGCTGAACGTACTAATAGTAAGCTGAACGAAACGATTTCCCAAATTAAAACCGACGTGCTTGTTGAAATCCAATGTGGAGAAAGAAGCCTGTCTTTGTTTTTTTATTAAGGATTATCACGTTCATCTAATATCTTGGCAATATTGTGTATAAGTATTAAGAAATGCGTTTGTGTTTAATGTAATTCAAAAAGAACCTACGATGTGACTGAGTTTTGAGTCTACAGTCCGGATTTTCTATCGCATGTCATTAATTGAATCTTGATTCCTGCTCTATGTTTCGATTTTTCAATTTTTGCGAATTTTTGTACCCTCTGTCGGCAAGTGAGAAAGACGATTATCTAATTAATTCGTTTAACATTTGGAAGTTTAATAATTTAAAATTGCGACAAAGTACATGCGAATTGGTTATTCGAAAGATTAAGCAATTGCACTACTTCCTGGTGTAGGTATCGTGTTGATCGACGATTCTTTCCGTAGAAATTCTCCACTATGTGGTCTTTTGCTAAGTTGCCTTTAAACAGTTAACGAACTTCTTTAAAGAAAGAAACAAACGGTAAGATGGTGAAGGCATCGAGGTATCCTAATCATGCCATTTTAATTTTTCCTGCGTCACTAACGTTGTGTATTGCCTCGAACTTTTGCAATGGAAAATGATGCTTTTTCGATTAATCAATTCCGATCGCTGCAGCTTATATTTGAGGTTCAATTGCATTGGCAGTCGAATGTAGAACCAATTATGTGGCCATTATCTGGAAACATCTGGCGATGCACGATACCATTTTAATCCATCAAATCTAAATAAAGCGTTCCTTTTGGTGGTGCCATCAACCTGGACATTCCCCAAATTTGGACGATGAGTTTTTTTTTCGTATTATTGTCATATATGATCCACTTTCAATCGCCCACTGCTAACCATTTCAAAAACTTCTTACTTTCAATTCATCAAATCTCTCATTCAGCAACATTAAATATCAAATACTCGAAAAGCCCAGACAACGAGGTAAGTATTGATAGGAGAGATTGTACACGCATGTGAAATCTTCTTGTGGGGAAAAAACGAACTATACTCGATAACATTACAACGATATAATGAACATAAAAGTTAATGAAGGCATTGTACGACGATTTTAAAAATTAATTATATACAAGCAAATCTTATCAGAATTTCATTGCCGTCAATTTCCGTCAAACAAAACACTATTGATAACTTCCAAAAGCTCTGCTGTCACATTCGCTATATGGCTGATCTTCGAAATCTTTCACATGCATAATGAAATGCAATTTCTTTCAACTCTTCTTTATCTGTTTTGTTGAAGTTTGTAGCATACATTTTGGAGCTGTTAATAATTTTCTGTATAAAATAATAGTTTCCTCCTATGTTATTACAAAAGGGATTATCAGATCACATCCCAATCCACCAAGCCTGGGCAAGTTTCATTTAATGTTGTGTCAAAGAAGTGATTATGGATGGAATAAAATATATTCCTCTCTTCTTCACCAACTTTGTGATCTCTTTGCTTATGAGGCGAAGAGAACATATACGAACGATGTGCTGATGTTGATGTTGATGTTAATGTTGAGGGTGATGTTGACAAATACTTGCGCTTTATTAAATGTGCAGCAGAACAGAAGTGCCATTCATGGCAAACATCCGTTTTGATTCTAAGTGTGCTGCCGTTTGCATGGTTTTATTTTTCTTCCTCTTTTTCAGTATTTGAGAAACGAAAAGGGGCAGGCAGAAAAAATAGAAACGTTATATTCGCCTTGAGTATCTTTCAATTCAAGAGAAATTGCGCGCATATTATTTTCTCGTTAATTGTAGGCGTATTAATCCGATTTGGGGAATTAAAATTCGGCTTGACATGTATGACATACTTAGGTCTATAACGACTTCACAGTTCCCGTGTAGAGCAAAAATAATTCGAAAATGTCCATTTTTTGCCTATTAACCGTGCCCAGGCTGTTTTAAAGCCATGTATTTTTCGCGATTTTCACAATGATTGCAGCATATATGCACACAGGCAGATCAAGCTAAATCGGTTTAGAATCTTATGTTGGGTGTTACAAGTGAAAAGAACGAATTAGTGCACTTCCATCTTTTGGCGAATTATAAAAAAAAAAAAAAAATAGAAAAAAATACAGAAAATCATTGCACTTCGTTTGAATTTTCAAATGCACACATACAGACAGAATTATAAATGCAAAAAAATTTTTCTTTAACGTTCTTTTCATGTAAAATTTCCAGTAGTAGCAGTACATGAATATATATTTATATATATATATATATAAATATATATATAAATATATATATATATATATATAAATATATATGTATATACATGTTCATGTGCATGCATACGTATATGTGTAAAATACACTTTAGTATTAGTCGATGCATATAATGAGGAAAAAGAGCTTTTAGATTCAATGTATGAAAATGATGCAAAAAACATATAAAAATAAAGCATGGAAAAGAGTGGGAATACATAGCTTGTTCTAAAATGAGAAAAAGAAAAAAAAAAAAAAAAAAAAAAATCGAAAAAATTCATAAATATGCTTGAATTTGACATGTATGTGTGTGTATGTTTGTAACACAGGACAGGAAAAGGCCCTAGTCTTAATGAAATTTTATAAACAGGCAAATTAATTATTTCCATCATTATGCTTTCATAAGATCTGCCTGCGTTTCTAATGTTATTTTTAATGTTTTTTTTCCCATTTTTTTTTTTTTTTTTTTTAGTTTCAGTTACCACACCGACCATTATACACTGATTAACAAGCCTGGTTCTGAATTGCCATACAGCAAGGTTTTGATTTCAATTCCATCTCTCGAGCGCAACCATATAAATATAATCATACTTTTGCAAAAACGTACAGATTCGTCAAACATAGAAAATCATATTTGAATTTAATGCTGAATTGCCTCGCAATTTTGCTTCAGTTGCACATATGTATTATACATAAGTGTTAGGCTAACTTTACAGTTGAGATATTACTGTAGTGTATTAATGCAGTTATAAAGGAAATACATTCATATTATGTACATTCATATACGTACATAATACATAATGTTTTTTCCAAAAATCTTAATAGAAGTTTTTATACCTTATATATATATATATATATATATTATATAATTTTTTAATTTTTAATTAATTAAAAATGCAATCTGTGTAATCTCGCTCTCTAATAATTTCGTTGAAACCTTAGCCTAGTGTATGGGGTGAAAGTGTTTTGGGGTAAAAAGGGGCTAGTTTCAGTCCATTCAATTCATGTGATTAAGCCATCGAATCAAGTAAAAAATTGTTGAGAAAAATTCTCAATATTTTATCACCGCGACTGAATGCGGAGAAAATTAAGTATGCTTTAGTATTAAGAAATAAATTCTTATTGAAATTAAGGTGTGGAATGTTAATTATTTAATTAAATGTTCTTTAAAGCAACAAAGAAACAAAAAAACAAAAATAAAACATAAATAGATAAAGTCAACAATTTAACTTCAAATCATACTTCAAATAGAAAAGAAACAAACGACAGATAGTTCATATTAATAGAAATTAACACGCAATATAAGCAATATAACCGCCGCCGCCGACGACGACGACGACGACGGCAAATAATGCCTAGCTAAGCGCAAACCATATACACGCACCTAACATCATTTATCGCACAGAGAAAGAGAGAAAGAGAGAAAGAGAGAAAGAGAGAGGGAAAGCTCATAGAAATCATAGAAATATGTCAGCAAT